ATTTTCTATTATGTTATTTTTTATAATATTTAATTATATTTTTAATTTAAAATACATATTAGTTTAAATAATTATTGTTTTTTTATACTAATTTATTTTTTTTAATTTATGTTTGTATAAAAAATTATATTTTTTTTATTTAAAATTTAATTTTAAAGTATAGCTTTTAAATTAATATTACTTTGAGAGAACTGTTTAGTTTTTTTTTTATCGTTTTTTTCCTACAATATACTGATACTTCATTTATTATGTATTTTGAAAATTATGTTTTACCTCATCACTCAATAAATCTATTGTCTATTGATAATTACCAGATTCTCCATTTGTTAAGGAAAAATAAATTTTTGAATTGTTCTTGATTTGTTATTTTCTTCTTCTAAAAAATTATATATTAAATATTTATTTGATTTTTTTTCTTTTTTTTTATTATGTTTATGTATTATGAACTGAACTTAATAATTATATTAAGTATAGTAGTCTATATAGATCCTTTCGGGGACTCCTTTATAAATATATACATATAATACATAATTTTTTATAATATATAATTTAATAAATAGAATAATAATTTATATTAACTGTTAATATATATATATATATAATAAAAATATAGATAAAATTTTAACCATAACATTATAAAAATTAAATATATCAACATTATAAAAATAAATTAAATAATAAATAATATATAGTTTTTAATTTAAATAAAAAAAAATGAATAAACTATAATTATTTAGGATTTTTTAAACTCCTTATCATTATTTCTCATCTTAAAATAAAAAATTAAAAAATAAGATTGGCATCAATTAAATTTCAACAATATTAGCCTAAAATATCTATAAAAAACGCTTTAAACCTAAATATAATATCCTATGATAACTAATTAAATACAATCTTATTAATTTTTATAAAAAATATTTAATAAATGAGAAGACGTGAATAAAGTTTACATATAATAAATCTTAATAAGAGTATTATGATATATAATAATAATAAGTAACTTGATATTCCTAAAAACAAAAAGCTTCTTCATAAATTTATTGAAAGATAATATAATAAATGTAAATCAAATAGAATTAATAGAATAGTGAAATATAGCAATAATTAATTAAAATATTATGAAATAGCGGTTTTATTATTTTTTTAGTTATACTTTTTAAATATAATATTATAAATGATATTAACACAAAAAATAAAATGAAATAAATAAATAAAACAAAAACTGATTTGAAAAAAAATACACTTAAATATATATATATATATTATTTTACTACAATTGCGATTAAAAATTGAATTTTTATTTAACAAAAAATAAAAACTAATTATTATTACTATATATAGCTCTTTTTTAATAAAAATATAATTATAATAATAAAGAAATATATATTAATCATAATTAAAAAAAAAAAATAGATAAAAATTTTAAATTTTATATATATATATATATATGTAAATATTTTTTTTTAAAATAATATATTTATTTATTTATTATAGTTTAAATTTTTATTTAATAAGTTTTTTATTTATTAAAAAATTTATTAATTTTTTTTTTAATTTATTGAAAAATAATTAAAAATTTTTAATATAATATTAAAAAATAAAAATTTAAAATTTCATAAAAAAATTTAGTTTTTTAATTAAACAAAAATAAAATCTTAAAAGTATAATATATAATAAATATATTAATTTTTATAAAAAAATAAATAATAATAAAAATTTAAATAGTAAAATAAAATACTAAATATATATATATTTAAATATTTATATTTATATATATATATTTTATCCTATATATATTTTTTTATATTTATATATATAATTCTTCTTTTTTTTCTATTTTATCATTTTATAGTTATTATTTATATTTTTATTTAAGAAAACATTTTATTTAGAAAAAATAATATTTATAATAATATATTTTTCTTAATTAAAATATATTATATATTTTATAAAACTAATATATTAGTTTGTATATGATAATTATATATTTTTTATATATTTTAAATTAATATATTAAATATTTTTGTTTAAAAACAATTATTTTATATAAATAGACACATATATATATATATTTTTTTTTTATTATCAAACATTAGATTATCTATAAGATGTTGTATCAAGTACTTTTACACCACACATTTTACAAATTCCATTTTTATATGCACATTTTTGACAAAATTAGTCTTATTTAGGAACTTTTTGTTTACAAGTTTTACATTTAGAACCGAAAGGATCAAATGTAGTTTTATTTTTTTATAAAAGAAGCATATTTTTTCCTGTTTTTTTTAAAGGTTATTTATCTTTTTAAAATGGATCTGGTGTAATCAATTTTTCTAATTTTTTTTCGCATTTTTAGCATACCATTTTATTAATATTTAAAGAACAAATAATTTATTGTTTTAATTAATATAAAAATGTTAATATTTGATTTTAAAAAAAAAATATAAACAAAAAATTAATAAAATTTACATATACTGTATATTCAAATCTATAATTTAAAATTAAAAAATATTATTGAAATATTAACAAAAAAAAAATTATATGTTATAAAATAAATATTAATTATTTAAGTTTAAAAAAATATTCATAATAAATATAAAAAATTTAATATATTTATAAATATTAAAATAAAATTTATATAAATATATATTTATTTATATTTTAATTTATATATTCAAATATATATTTATATATATTTTATATATATTAATAAACATATATAAATATAAAAGTTTATATTAATAAATATAATTATTTTTATTTATTTAAACTCAATTTTTTTTTTAGTTTTTTTATCTATAAATCTTCATTATTTATATTTTAAGTATTTTTATAATTTATATTATTATTATTACTATTTATATTTTTTATTATAATATTATTATTATTAATACTTTAAGGTATTTAGCTATTATTTTAATTAACCATATTATTTTATTAAATTTAATTATTATTATTTTATTAAATAAAATTATTCTTTATATTATTATATGAATATTATTATATGTAATTAGGTGCTTAAAACTTTGGTTTTTATGCAACTGCAGCCTCAAAATATTTTATCTAATTATTGCAGCATTATTATTATTATTATTATTATTATTATTATTATTATTAATAATTATAATTATAATTATAATTCATTTAATCCAGTTTTTAATTTTAATTATAATTACTTTATTTTTACATTCCTCTTTATTAATGCTATTATTATTAATTTTAATACTAATTTTAGCTCTATAAATTACCAGATTACCTTTATTAATAGAATTGTTATTTTTATTATTTTTCTTCAATTCTACTAAATAAATTATTAGAAAAAACTTAACTTTCATCATTATTATTATTATAATTTTAATATTTATATTATTCTCTTATATTTAACATATTACCATACTAAGAAGTTCCTTAAAAATAATTATTTTATTAATTTCTTCTTATTGTTTCATAATTTTAACTATCACCTCTTAAAATTCTTTATATAAGTTCTACTACTCTCTAACCAGAATATGTTTTTAAATCAGTTTTTTTCAAATAATCTTCACTTATTTCAATAGATGGTTCAACTAATCCTTCTTTAAGATAAATATCATGTTTTTAGAATTCTGGAAAATCAATAAAGCCGCATAAAACATCATTTTTTTCGATTCTATTTAATCTGAGTGCCTAATCTAATAATTTAATGCTTTAATTTAATTTATATTTTTCATTAGATATTAATCTTCCACTTAAATAATCTTCTTTTTATTAAAAAGTATTATTTTCTTTAGCAAAATCTTTATGTAAAAAAAGCATTTCCTTTCCAAATTAATTTCTATTTTTTTCCTCATCACTCAAATACTACTCCCTTTCTTTAGCAGCTTTTAAAAGTCTTTCCTCATCAATAAACGGTAAAATAACCTCTCCCAGCCACTCATACTTCTTTCCTATTAAATCTACATAGAAATCACTCGGATAGAAGTCTGCAATCTCACTATCTTCATTTAACATAAGTTCTCTAAAGCACTCAGGTACGCTTAAAGCCGATTATGGTGGAAAAACCGATAAAAGTTAATAAAAAGGTCGAAAAGGTTCACTTTTTTCGAACTAAATGACATATTAATCAACATTAAGTAAATCACTAGCAAACGGCGAATAATGAAAAGGATAATACCAATTCCAAGAAATACAGCCTTTATAATAATACGCGAAATTCCAGCATAAAGCTTCTATAAAAGCCTTCTTTATTTATTATTAAAGCTATATAAAATCCTTCGGTTTAATATGCAATTTATCATTATAATAGCTTTATTTATAATTATAATTGAGAGTTTTTTATGTACTTTCTTAAATATTTTCAATTGGATTATTTTTCTGACTAGATTTTTCTTCTAAAAGCCTCTTGAATTTTTCCAATGGACTCTCCTTTTAATTAATTATGATTTCAGTCTTTTTCTTCTCGTCTCTCATTCTCCAATCTTTCCTCAAATTCACATATTCTTCTTCGCTTAGTTAATTTCTCAGTTTCTATATCTTCTCTTCCTTTATTTTATCGTTCATTTGGTTCCTTCTGTCCCTTTCTTCCTTTTCGTTTCTAAATTTCATCAAATCCTCTTCTACTATAGCCATTTTTTCTAGAAACTTCCCCAATTACACAATATTAAGTTCCCCATTATTGCTTATATACTCCGCTTTTTCCTCTAAAAGCATAAATTCATACAGACACAGCAACGCGTCGATACCTCCATCTCTTATATTCAGATTTGGTATATGGGGCAAGAAGTCATTTCCTACAAAAAAGCACATAAACACGAAATCATCGATAATTTTTTCTAAATCAAATTCCAATTAAACTGAATTCTCTTAAAAAAAATTCCTAAACCTCATTTCTAAAAACTACCTCATGACATATAATTTTGCAAACTAAAAGCTCTACAAAAGCCCTTTCCTACTCTATTACTATTCTATATATTTCCTCTAATTTTCCCCTTCTTCAACCCCACATTCTGTTTAAAAATGACCTTATTAACCACAAACAGAGCATCTTTTTTCATCATTACTAATAATCTACTCCCTAATAATATAAAAATACGGTTCATGAGTACTTAATCCTAACATAAGTAAATCCGCATCAGCCCCATATAGGCAATGTTTACTATTCGGATCATATTAATCCTGACTTCTTTGAATTCTAATAAAATTCAGTATTTTATGTTCTCCTTCTCCCGGTATTGACGCATCCGAGAACACTACTTTCAAATTTTTCCATAAAGGGTGATTATTAACTCTATCTAAGACATAATGCTATAGTGCTATAGATAGATCTCTCATAAATTATGTCCCCGGAGTTATTACATTAGTATCGAATTTACTCTCTACGAATCTCATTACTTCTTCTGGAATATCCTCTCCTTATTATCTTTGTTCATTAATTATTTCCAATTTCTTCTTTTGGAGCTCAACGGCTTCTTTTGCTCCTTTGAATCTTCTTGCTCGTTGTTAATTCATTTTTGCTCGAGGAGCTACTCCATCAATTGCCATATATAAAATCCTTTAAGGTCTGCATATGTCCATTAATTTATCTATATACATAAATATATTATTAAACATATCTTATATAGTATTTGGAATTGGCATCGCAGATCCATCAGATCGGCAACAAGGGTGGATTATACCGTTCATGTCTAAATATAAATTATGAATTTCAGGATTGTTTGATGGCTCCGAGAAGTTCTCGTAGTTTTCGAAGGCGTCCAATATAAATTGGGGATTTCGGGAACATAACCATCTAAAAAATGCGGGGACTCCCATATTTTTATTGTCTCTCTTTTTTTTTTTTTTTTGTAAAATTAATTATTTTCTTCTTAATTATTTACTTTTTTATTTTTCTCTTTGTTTTGTTTCTTTTTTTGCAATTTTAGTTTAAGATAAGATATAAAATGCTTATATATATAATATTTACTATATATATTAATTAATATATAGTATAATATAAATTATTTATTTTATAAAAATTAATTTGCTATAGGTTTTAATTAATTAAAACATTATTCTTTTAAATATAAAATTTGGAATTATAAATAAACTAATAACTAAATTACATAAATTATACTTAAATATATCAATATATAGTAATAAAGTTATTAAATTTAGATTAAAAAAAGAATAATATATATAAATATATAATAATAATATAAATATATATAAATATATATAAATATATATATAAATATATATTTTTTTATATAATAGTTACTATTATTTAAATTTAATCTATAAAAACTCATATTCAATTTTTACTTATAAATAATATATACACATTATTACTAATATTATTTTAAGATAACATAAAAAATATAATATTTTATATTCTTTTCTTTATTTTTATTTTTCGTTTTAACTTTTAAAAAAATATATAAATTAGCAATTTTTAAAATTTTATTTAAAAGGAATTTATATAAAATATACTAAAAATATATATATAATTTTAAATTTTACATAAAAAATTGCATTTGTACCTATAATATTAAAATTAATAAACTCAATTTATATTTAAATTAAATTTTCTTTATTGTTAGAACATAATAAATATATTTAGATTTTCATATTTAATTTATTAATAATAATTTTAGTATAAACTTTGTTAATTTTAATTTTAATATTTAATATTTTCTCATTAATTTTTAAATAATGTATTATTTTATCAATTTATAAGTAATTTTCATTAATAATTTATTTTATATTAATCTTAATTTCATTTAAACAAGTTTAAAATAAAATAATTAATCAATAAACTAACATTAAATAATTTATATAAATTAAGATTTAGAAAATATTAATATATAACTATATATACAAAATAATTTAAATCTTTATTATATATCTATTAAAAAAAAATACATATTAAATTAAATATATATTCTCATTTGAAAATAATTACTGTATTCTTGAATTTCATTTTAATAATTAATTAAAAAAATATAAAATACTAAACGAATGAATATTATAACAAATTATGCGATAAATATTATATTTTAAAAAAATAATTATCTATTATTTATTTATATTATAATCTTATTATTATTTTATGATTATATGAATATTTAATATATATATATATTGATTTCAATCAAATATTTATTCATTTATTTTATTATTTTAGTTTTTTTTTTCATATTTAGATTGATTACTTTTTTAATAATTTCCATTTAATTTCTGAAATATTTAAAATGGAATTAAAATACTTTTATTTCATTTATTATTATAAAAATATATATCAAATAAATTTATTTACTTTTATAATAGAATAAAAATAAAATTTTTAATAAAATTTTTTTATTAAAAAAAAAAAAATATATATATCTTAAAAAAAATATATTTTAATTAAAAACTTAATTAAATAAAAATGAAATATCTATAAAACCCTCAAATAAATTTAATCTAGTATCCTATATTTCTACATAAATATCCAGATAACTAATTATATTTAAGCTATCATATCCGAATACCAAATACATTATCAATCATAAGCTTTATAATTAATAATTTCCATATATTTTCTTATAAATAATATCATATAAAATATCGATCTTAATTTTTTAGGCAATTATTATGAAATTTTATACTTAATATTATAGTAAACTTAACCCTATTATTTGTATTTATTATTCCCAAAATTATATCTTACACATCCTTCCTAATATAAAAAACAATATTCATATAATTTTAGTTCCAAATAAATAAATTTTATTTCATAATATGATTGATAAATTTTAATATTTTTAATATAAAATTATTTAGCGCAATATTTTTTTGCAATTTAGTTTTTTTATGTGTTTATTTTCAATAATTCTATTAATTATCACATAATGTATATAAATAAAGGCAATTAAGGAATTAATTTATATTCATCAAAAGTATAATAATTAAAAATGTATTAACAAAATTAAGAATAGAAATCTATTATTTAAAGTAGTGTAGAAAATTTGAGATTTCTTTTTTAAAAAAGGCATTGAATTTAAATTATTAAAATTTACAGTGTTTTTTTAATAATTATATTCGAGTAGGTTTAGGTACAAAAAGAAAGATATTAATTTCTTATGAAAGTAAAAATTAATTAATAAAGCTTCAAATTTAAAAAAATTATATATATACGCATTTTAGCAAATACAATAACAATAATATATATAATTATAAGAAAAAAGGCAAATAATATCTAATTTTTTGTATATATTGAATATTTTATATTAAAAATAGTTTCCGATATATAAACAAAAGATATTTTAAATACATTTATTAAATAATTGTATATTATATTATAATTTTGTTTTATACAAAATAATATAAATTATAATATAAATATAAATAAATTATTTTATATGAAAAAATAATATTTAATTACTAATATCTAAAAATATATAATATATATGTAAATAATATTAATTAAATATAATTTTTTATATATAATAATTATATTTGAAATTTATTTTTTATATATATATATATATATATATATATATATTATTAATATTATAATTTTTAATTTTATTATTAATATATTATTCTTATTTTTATTAAAAAAATAATTAATTATAAAATAAATATTTATTTAATCAACTAAAAATAATTAAAAAAATAAAAACTTACTAAATAAACATCAAACTACTCTTAAACAAAAATACATTAGTATCATATTCTTCTGTACATATATCTGGACAACTAATAAAATTAAAATTATCATCTGAACACTAAATACACTATCCATCCTAAGCTTTATAATAAGTACTTCCCACTAACTACCCGTTTTCTATATTTTAAATAACATCACATAAAATGCAATACCCATCTTAATGTATAAGACAATTATCTGGTACTTTTTTACATACTAAATCAATATTATAGTATCCTTAATCACATTCTTAACATTTATTATGTGCATAATCACATCTTATACATCCTTTTTAACATAAAACACATGCATATGATGATCCTTCTGAAGAATCTAATTCTAATTACATAGTTCCATATCTTCGCTGACATCTTTCACAAATCTTAATATCTTTACATACTTCGCAATTATTAGTACCACATTTTATACATTAATTTGTTAAAGCATCTAAGAAAAAGCCTACATTACAATAATGACAATATAACTCTTCATCTTTCAACAAAGTACAATATTTAGAACAAGCGTCTGCTTTATCTTTGACATCTCTGCAATTTTCACATGGGCTACAAAATGCACATGCAAAAGGACATTTTAGACACATAATTTTATCTTTAGAAGTGTAAAAATTTTAATATTATTCACAATATTTAGTAATGGGAATAATAAATTGGGTCCTACCATCTAGTTCTTAAATTTTCTTTTTGATAAAATTGCATTCAAATATAAAAAAATAACAGTTTTTTAAACAAATTTCATTCTATGCAGGATTATCATTATATTTATATTTACAAAAAGAAAGGTAACTCTTTTATATAGAAGGGTAACCTAAATAATAATGCTTTAAGTTAGTAAATATACTGCATTATTTTGATTGTTCATTAATACAGTCGCAATCTTATTCATATTTTTCAAAAGTTGTGCAAATAATATCGATTTCTTGACAGTATTTACATATTTCATATTTATTTAATTGTACATTATCAGAACAAATTTTATTTTCATTACATTTATTACATTTATACTAATTATTTTCTATTTAGCAATCAAAACAATTTGCTATATCACATCTAACACAAGAATATTAATTACAAGGATTATTTTCTGTAATTTTTATTAAAGTATAGTTATCATAACACTGGTAACATTCAGCTACTCTTTAATTACATTCTTCCTTAAAAACAATTTAATGATGTAAACAATTGAAGGTTTATTTATAACATTTTCTTAATTAATCGCCTAATATATAACCATCTTCGCATTCATATATAATATCCTTTTTGAAAACTATTTATTTATTTATATATGAAAAGTTACTTTTGATTAACATCTTTTTCTATTTAGACATTCATCATAATTTGATAAATTAGCTAATAAATGTAAAAAACATTCTTAACTTTCTCTATTACAACTATAGCATTTATTTTCTTTCTTATCAATATAATAATGTTCTTTACAATATTAACATTTATTTACACCAATACCTTCTATTCCTTCTTCTTTTACATGAATAAATTTAGCACAATTAGGCACTATTTCTTCACATAAGGTTCCTTGATTTTTTAATTCATAATTTTCTAAACATTATATACATTTTTCCCGAACTTTACAAATTTAACAATTTTAAATGACATTACATTATCCACATTATCTGCTATAAGAAATATTATTTAAAGTAAAAGGCATTTCTTAATAAAATCCTTCTTTGCATTTGATACATCCATTTTAATCGCATTCTTGACAATTTAGAACTTCACAAGCTTAGCAAAGAAAATTATCTTTCATATAATAATATCCATGTGCACATTCTTTATATAAACACGATTCTCTGTTTGTGCACTATTTGCAACTTTAATGACATAATTGACATTAATAATTTTTATCTAAAAACGCACCTTATTTACATTTTTAACATTTTTCAGTTTTTTTATTAATTACTTCACAATATTTTTAGTATAAACATACCCCTTTTATTAATTTGAACTCATTTTCACATTTTAAACATACTAATTTTGTTACTGAACGTTTTTCACAGCATTCCTCACAACCATAAGGACATTTTAAACATTATTTGGTTGCGCTATCTAAATAATAATATTTTACGCATTTGTCACATCCATTGTGTTTTTGGCAATAGCATAAATTA